TTAAAAGTGACAAATCTAGCGATTTCACAAACTCATAATCGGTTTTATCTACTAGAAAGGAAACTAGATAAGAACGGTTTGACTTGAGGAAGCCAGGCGAAGTGATTTGAGCAAGGTGAATCTATATCTYAGTATCGATACTATTTTTATATTTCCTATGAATAATAATATCTTGGTATTATGGCACAAGATAAAATGCTTGACTGTCATTTGAACAAACAAATAGTCACCGCGCGCAAGAATATATGAATGCATTAAAATCTAAACATTTCACATATTTAGACAAGCAATCTCAGTGTTCAAGAACACTATAAGGAGCACTCTTACTGATATTTAACACATATGTCCTTCACATGGCATTTAGGCACAAATTAATGAGGTTTCCAATTGCTTTCTTTCTCTTATTCGTTGCTTCTTTTCGTATGTTCGTATGTTCGTTTGTTCTTTCGTTCAGTTTCTTTTTTTCTATTTTTTTTTTTTCATCCAAGTTTTATTTTCGTTTCGTAAGTTCTTTTTATTTAGTGTTTGCTTCATTCCTTTCTCGCTTTTCTTTTTTTCTCTTTACACCTATCTGTTTCCTTTGAACCAGTTACTACCTCTTTTCACTTTTCTCTTATTAACATTTTATTATTATTTTCTTTACTTTGCTCATCCCCATTTAGTACAATCTCTATTGTTTATTTTCATCTCAACATTTTCTTTAAAAATTCTAGAATGCAAACAATATATCCGTGAATATTAGTAATACTAACTTGCACTATTTTATGATATCAATTCTATTGTTTTCTTTTATTTATCTAGCACTAGTCTATTTTGAACAATTTAGTAATTAGTGTTTCACGGATATATTGTTTGCACTCTATATCAGTACGTTTTTACACAATTTCCATTTTGTCCCATAACATATTTCCGCTTCTCCTTGCTCTTAACCCACCACTATGTGAGAACTTTTTATGTTTTATCATTATTTGCAGTTTTAGATGAAGCGATATYAATTTTCCCCGGCAAAGATTTTCCAAAATCATTTTTGTGGTCACTTGACTTCGACTCTACTCATAATCTGTAAATTTTGTGCTCAATTTGAGAAAATTTCCAAACTGTCAATCTCATACTAAGTTCATTAAACTTTTGACAAATACATTTAAATGTTATTTCATGCTTTTGAAGACGAGAAACTTTTTATTCGTTTTCTCTGTCAGTGTTTTCTCTGCCTTTCAACCCAAMGCTAGGCAAATATAAGACTTATTGCAATAACAATCAAAGTCAATAACATGCCTTTTCGATCTCTATGTCTATCCAATAATCAACATCAAGAAAATAAATCGATCAAAAGGCCAATTAATTTCAAGTGTTAAGCAACATCAAGCTATTTGAAGATTAAAGATGGCCTACTTAAGGGAGTCATTTGTAACAAAGTTCATTTTACTCGAATGATTAGCGACGGTTCAACTGAAATACGGTGTTCTTAGTCGCTCCTTACTAATGTCTAAACCGTGTCATCATTAGAACACAAAGACCGTTGCAAGCTGAAGGGCTGTCTAATGGATTTTCGCAATAATTGGGGCAGCTGTTTAGTGACCGATCAAATACTCTAACAATAAGAACCCTCAAATAACTTAGAGACAAGGAG